TTTGGCTGACTGGTTATTATGGTCTGTGTTTGGCTGACTGGTTATTATGGTCTGTGTTTGGCTGACTGGTTATTATGGTCTGTGTTTGGCTGACTGGTTATTATGGTCTGTGTTTGACTGACTGGTTATTATGGTCTGTGTTTGGCTGACTGGTTATTATGGTCTGTGTTTGGCTGACTGGTTATTATGGTCTGTGTTTGACTGACTGGTTATTATGGTCTGTCTTTGACTGAATGGTTATTATGGTCTGTCTTTGACTGACTGGTTATTATGGTCTGTCTTTGACTGAATGGTTATTATGGTCTGTGTTTGGCTGACTGGTTATTATGGTCTGTGTTTGGCTGACTGGTTATTATGGTCTGTCTTTGGCTGACTGGTTATTATGGTCTGTGTTTGACTCCAGCCCAGGACGCTCCTCTTCCTTCTACGATAATGAGATCGTCATGATGAACCATGTTTATAAAGAACGCTTTCCAAAGGTAACACACACACACACACACACACACACACACACACACACACACAGTGTTCAATCATCTAAAGCGGTGGTGCTTAAACTCTGGTTCACATATGAATAATGGTACTTGGGGAAAGAGGTTGAAGGGTCAAAGGTGTGTGACTTGTGCCCCCCTCCCTCCCCCCCACCACCAGGCCACAGCGCAGATGGAAGGGAGGCTGGCTGACTTCATCCAGACCTTCTCCCCTGAGAACGTCCTCCCTCTGGCAGACGGAGTCCTGAGCTTCATCCACCACCAGATCGTTGAGCTGAGCAGAGACTGTCTGGCCAAGAACCAGGAGGGTCTCATCACCTCCGTCTACTTCTTTGAGCTGCAGCAGAATCTGGAAAAACTTCTTCAAGACGTAAGATTTAAAGAAACACACACACACACACCGTGTTGTCCAGAGATGTTTGGTTAGACAGGAAATGACCTCAGATCTGACGATGCGTTGATAACGACCAACATGAACTCATTACTGCGATCAACAACAAGTACTCTGGTGACACTAGGTGTCGCTGTCCTAAAGTCTGATGACACAGAGATGACACAGACCTGAGTCTTCATCTGTCAAAGGCTGCAGCTGGTCGATGATGAGGAGGAGGCAACATCTTCATCATCGTCATCGTCATGGAGGCTGCAGCTCAGCCGTGTCTCCTCTGTGTTCAGACGGTCCATCAGTGGACGGTCATGTTGAAAATGTCTTCTCCTCGCAGGCCTTTGAACGTTCAGAGAGCGCCGAGGTCGCCTTCGTCACTGAGCTGGTGAAGAAGCTCCTCATCATCATCTCACGTCCTGCCAGGCTGCTGGAGTGTTTGGTGAGAAAACAAAACAAATCAGCACCAGGTTAATGGGGATGAAACGGAGCGCCAGGATTGGTCCTGGTTTCTGTCTTGATGATGTCATTTCCAGGAGTTTAACCCAGAGGAGTTTTACCACCTGCTGGAGGCGGCAGAGGACCACGCCAAGGAGGGTCACCTGATGAAAACTGATATTCCTCGCTACATCATCAGCCAGCTGGGACTGACCAGAGACCCTATTGAAGGTGAGAGGAGGAAGTGATGTCAGAGTTCGTTATGACATCATGGGTTCAACCTCTAATCTGTCTGTTGGTCCACAGAGATGGTGACCCTTGACACCTATGACAGTGAGGGTCCTCTGACGCCTGAGACGGACGACTCCACCGAGGTGAACTTCTTCTTCTAGTCCCTTCCTCACAGATAGACTGACGACCCCCCTGACCCCCCTGACCCCCCGAGTGTCTCTTAAACATTAGGCCAGTACTAGACTCAGTCGACAGACACTGACCCCACAGTGTGTGTGTGTGTGTGTGCGTGTGTGTGTGTGACGTTGCCTCACAGCGAAAGAGCCGGGGGGCCAACCAACCAGCAGAGGGAGACTTTCAGACCATCAAGCTGATCAGTAACGGAGCCTACGGGTGAGTTTGACACCCAGGACTGTTACAAGCACCAAACGGTTCCTGATGTCCAGATAACCGATGAGAGTTTGTCTCCGTCAGGGCCGTTTACCTGGTGCGTCACCTGGAGACGCGGCAGCGGTTCGCCATGAAGAAGATCAACAAACAGAACCTGATCCTGAGGAACCAGATCCAGCAGGCCTTCGTGGAGAGGGACATCCTGACCTTCGCTGAGAACCCGTTTGTCGTCTCCATGTTCTGTTCTTTTGAGACCCGACAACACCTCTGCATGGTCTTGGAGTACGTGGAAGGTGAGGGGCGCTTCAGAACCTTCACCTGGGAGAAGGGTTGTGACTGTGGTTCAGCTCAGGACACACCCAGTGGTAGAACTGGGTACAGCAACCACTGAGCTCTGTCCAGTCTGTGTGTGTGTGTGTGTGTGTGGCCCTCGTCCAAATGAGGACTGGAGGACAAGTGGTACCAGGAGACGTCGATGGTCATGACTGTGAGACTAATGTCATGATTATCTCTGCCTGCAGGTGGCGACTGTGCCACGCTGCTGAAGAACATCGGAGCTCTGCCTGTGGAAATGGCCCGCATGTACTTTGCAGAGACAATACTCGCCCTGGAGTATTTACACAATTATGGCATCGTGCACCGAGACCTGAAGCCTGACAAGTGAGTCCGGACTCCAAAAACGTGACGTCAAACAGAAGTTGTTGTTTTTTAATCTGGTCAACAGAATAATAAACTTCATGGATTTGTGTGTTTTTGATTGACAGCTTGTTGATCACCTCCATGGGACACATCAAGCTGACGGACTTTGGTCTGTCCAAGATGGGGCTGATGAGTCTGACCACCAACCTGTACGAAGGTCACATAGAGAAGGACACTCGTGAGTTCCTGGACAAACAGGTAACTTCAGTAGGTCAGGAGGTCAGGAGGTCAGGAGGTCATACGGTAATGATAACAATTCACAATTATTTTTTTGTTTTATTATATTCATTTATTTTTTAAGTATAGTTTTTTATTTGTACTCCTTGGTGTACAGACATGTAAACCGCAGTTCCTCATCTCTCCTGCAGGTGTGTGGGACTCCAGAGTACATTGCCCCTGAGGTAATTCTTCGTCAGGGTTACGGGAAGCCCGTGGACTGGTGGGCTATGGGCATCATCCTGTATGAGTTCCTGGTGGGCTGTGTGCCATTTTTTGGAGACACTCCAGAGGAACTGTTTGGACAGGTGATCACAGGTAACTGGACCTCAGTACTGTCTGGACCTCAGTACTGTCTGGACCTCAGTACTGTCTGGACCTCAGTACTGTGTGGACCTCAGTACGGTCTGGACCTCAGTACTGTGTGGACCTCAGTACTGTGTGGCCCTCAGTACTGTCTGGACCTCAGTACTGTCACCCAGCGTCAGTGATTCAGTATTTGTATTTGTGTCCTCTGCTGCCTCCTCCAGATGACATCGTGTGGCCAGAGGGGGACGAGGCACTTCCTGTTGAAGCCCAGCACATGATCTCCTCTCTGCTGCAGAGGAACCCAATGGTCAGACTGGGCACAGGTCAGTGGGTCAGTGGGTCAGTGGGTCAGACAGTGTACTGTCTGATCCCGGGGTGCAGTACACTAATCTGGGACGTAGACTGTGGGCTGACAGACTTGTGGTCAGGTCCTCATGTGTGCGGTGTCCTCCTCCAGGTGGGACGTTTGAGGTGAAGCAGCACTCCTTCTTCACCGCGGTGGACTGGACCAGTCTGCTGAGACAGAAGGCCGAGTTTATTCCACACCTGGAGTCGGAGGAAGACACCAGCTACTTTGACAGTAGGTCTACAGATCAGTGTGTCGTGACAGTGGACGGTGTTGTCCTCCAGGTAGACCATGACTCTGTTTCCTTCTGTCCTCGTCAGCTCGCTCTGAGCGCTACCATCACGTTCAGTCGTACGATGAAGACGACACCAACGACGACGAGCCTGTGGAGATCCATCGCTTCTCATCATGCTCCCCTCGCTTCAGCAAGGTCAGGCCTGAA